TCTGACCTGTTCTTTTGCCACAGCTGGCTGCCCACCACCTCCCCAAATTGTGCTGCCGGGTGCAGTAGTCTTGGAACTGACCTTGCCTGTGAAGACTAAGGTGAAAGAGGAATTGAGTAATTCAAGCTTTTCCGCATTCTCTGTCACCAGGTTGCCTCCTGCATTCAGTAAGGGACCCATACTTTCCTTGTTCCTCTTGTTAATGACATACTTGTAGAAACCCTTCTTGTTACCCTCCACATCCCTTGCTAGCTGCAACTCCAGTTGTGCTTTGGCCTTCCTGACTTCATCGCTGCATGCCCAAGTGATACCCTTATATCTCCCCTTCATTGTTTGTCCAAGTTTCCACTTTTTATAAGCTTATTTTTTGTGATTTAACTTAAGGAAGAGTTCCCTGCTAAGCCAAATTGGTCTTCTGCCATACTCGCTAGTCTTCCTGCACATCAGGATGGTTTGTTCCAGTAAAGTTTCTTTAAAGTACAGCCAGCTCTCCTGGATTCCTTTCCCCCTCTCAGACTGGCTCCCAGGGGATCTGACCCATGAATTCCCTGACTGAGTCAAAGTCTGTTTTTTCTGAAGTCCAGGGTCTTCACTTTGCTGCTTTCCTTCCTGCTTTTCCTCAGGATCCTGAACTCAATCATCTCATAGTTGGTGCTGTCCAAGTTGCCATCCAAGACTTCATTTCCCACCAATTCTTCTGTATTTGTGAGCAGCAGGTCAAGAAGAGCATGGCCCCTAGTTGGCCTGTTCAATACTTGCACCAGGAAGTTGTCCTCAACACTCTCCAAAAAGTTCCTGGATTGCCTGCACACTGCTGTATTGCCCTCCCAGCAGATGTCAGGGTGATTGAAGTACCCCATGAGAACCAGGGCCTATAACTGGGGAAACTTCTGTTAGCTGTTTGAAGAAAGCCTCATCCACCTGGTCTGGTGGCCTATAACAGACCCCCACCACAACATCACTCTTGTTGCTCTCCTCTCTGACCTTAACCCAGAACTTTCAAGAGGCCTATCTCCAGTTTCATACTGGAGCTTTGAGCAATCATACAGCTCTTTTACATAAAGTTCAACTCCTCCTCTTCTTCTCCCCTGGCTGTCCTTCCTGAATAGTTTATACCCATCCGTGGCGGTGCTCCAGTTATGCGACCTCCCACCAAAGTCTCTGTTATTCCAGTCATGTCATAATTCTATGACTGTACAAGGACTTCCAATTCTTTTTGGTTTTTAATCAGGCTGTGTGCGTTCATGTACAGGCACCTAAGGTAACTAGCCGATTGCCCTTATTTCTCAGGAACAAAGAGAATGCCTCCCCTGTTGCCCACTCCTGTTTGTGCTTCCACCAGGTGACCCACTTCCCTACTTACCTCAGGGCTTTGGTTTCCATCCCACAGCAACCCTGGTTTAAAAGTTAGCAAGCTTGTCTGTCAAGATGCTTTTCCCTCTCTTTGTCAGGTGGATCCCATCTCTTCCTAGCAGTCCTTCTTGGAACATCATCCCATGGTCAAAGAAGCCAGAGCCCTGCTGGCAACCCCACCTGAGCAGGCATGCTTTGGCCTGCAGGATGCGCCCACTCCTGCCCAGGTCCTTTCCCTTGACCGAAAGGATTGCGGAGAGAATACCACCTGAGCCCACATCTCCTTTACCCTTGCACCCAGAGCCCTGTAGTCACTTCTGATCGGCTCAGAGTATCCCCTGGCAGTATTATTGGTGCCCATATGGGTGAGCAGCATGGGGTAGTAGTCAGAGGGCCTCATGAGTCTTGGTAATCCATCCATGACATCTCAGATCCATGCTCTGGGCAAGCAGCAGACCTCCCAAGACAACAGGTCAGGCTGGCAGATGGATGTCTCTGTCCCCCGCAGAAGGGGGTCTTCAGCACCACCCATCACTTCTTTCTGATGGCAGTGGTCTCGTTCATCCCCACCGTGGTCTTCCACCAATGGAACATTGTCCTCCCCCTCTATTGCTAGGGTTCCATAGCTCTTCTCCAGGCAAACTCCTGCAAGTGGAGATGAAGATTCCTGCTTGTTGCCAGCTTCCACCTTCCTCAGAGTCCATGTCCTCTCCCTTCCTTAGTGCTGCCCTTGACAATTCTTCCTCCAAAGTCTTGGAGGTCTCCTCCAGCATCAAATCGATAAACTCCTCATGGTGGAGGATGCTTTGGAGCCTTACCACCTCCTCCTCTAGCTTTCTTGCCTGCTCCCTCAGAGACACCACCAGGAGGCACCGCTCACATTGCAGGCACCCCCTGACCTGGCAGTCGCTGGAAGGAACCTGCAAGCAAGAGTTTCCACAGTGCCAAACCCAGACCTGGGTGGAAACTGTGATGGTGAGCGGTCCTGCCTAGAATCTGCTTTCTCTCTCTTATTGCCATTCTTCCAAGAGCACCTTCCTTAGCACATGGATGACTGGTGCCACTTTAGTCGGGGGGGGGGGCATGTGCCCCCCCAGTGACCAGTCATCGACCGGGGGGAGTCCCCCCCGTGGCCAGTCTCAACAATAGGGAGCCCCATGGCCAATCTCACTGGTGGGTGGTGGGGGGGCCACAGCTAATTGTGAAGCAGCTGTGGTGCTATCAGAAGCGGCTGCAGCGCTCACAGGTGGGGTACTGGTGCTTCCACCTGCCCCGCCTGCCTGTTACCTAAGCAGGGAGCATGGCCTGTCAGGGGGTGCACCGGCACTCAGGGGGTGCATGTGTACCCCGTGCACCCCCAATGTATCGCCACTGCCTTAGTAAGCTGGTCTGTAAGGTGGCCTGTTTACTTTTCCTTGGTCCTGAAAGGTTCATTTTTCCCTGCTTCCTCTCACCAAGCTTGAAGGCTGTCTGTCAAAGAGTTGGGGTGGGGGGCAAACTGACTTGTGAACTGCCTTCCCCTGTTCGCTTGCCCCATATGATATCATATTATATAAAACCATACATAGATATTCACAAACAGGAATGTTAAATGCATGCAATTGTTAACAATGCACACACAGTCTCTTTCATGTGAGGTTTTCTAAGTGCTATACAAGCAATTAATTAATTAACACAACCCCCCTGTGAGGTAAGTGGTTGGTAATTTATTTTACTAATGGAGAAATGCACACTGAGAGGTTAAGTGATTTTTGCCCACAGTTACAAAATTGGTCAACATCAGAGAGAGGTCTCAGTTCTTGTTTTAAGTACTATACAAAATCACTTACAATTAAAAGTTAGTTTACAAGTATGTTTCCTATGAAAATAATCATCTTGCCTGGCTTACAAGAAGAAAAGAAAAAAGTAGAATAGACAATTATTGTCCTGATTGACTAGTACAAAAAATGAGTGAACCTTAAATGTCAAATATACAGCAAAAGTTAAAGATGTTCATTTGACTTTTTGTTGATGCCAAATGAAAGAGATTAACATAAGGAATTTTAATTGAATGCACAATTTCTTCTTTTCTGTTGCTTTCTTATTAGTTTGATTTGTTTTATTTATTTATTTTCTTGGAAGGTATGCTAATCATCTAAAGTGTTTTGTCACCTATTTTATATGAGGCATTGATACCTTTGATTACATTTTTCACAGGTTTTGAAGCTGTCTTAATTTGTATTTGATTGATACTAATCAGTTACAGTTAAATCAGATGCTTTCTAATTTTTCATTCTCATTCTACACTCAGTCTTTTTTGTTTCCTTCCTGGACAGCAGAGGGACTGTTTTTTCAGATTAGCTGTGCTAAGAATGTCATCAAAGTCTTTTTGTGACTAATGCTGTGATGTAATAAGAGTTATGAAAAGTAGTTTCTGAAGCAGAGTAAGTAAGCTGTTTAATCCTAGCTTAACCTGAAACCAGCTATGAAGTATCCTCTGGTTCCTTTGGTAAATGATTTGACATTTCATGTGCTTTTCTTTTGGTTTTGTTTGCCATTTGGGTTACTGCTGATCTTACTGATTATCTGGCTGCAGCATTTACTCAATGAAGGTAAGTTTTATTATTAGATATATAAATGCTTTTGCATAGAGATTTTAAGCATTAATCTTGCCTTTGAGGATTCAACGTGGCTTTTTTAGGTGAATGCAACTGGTCTCACAAGGACAAAAGTTTTCATATTGAAACAAGTGATACTGTGTGGCGAATCAAACTCAATTTAACTTGTGTTAGCTATAAAAATCTGACTAGAAGGATGCATTGCTGCTTGGTGGGAGAGCTCTTGTGGTGGTGGTGGGGAGGGTTAAACTATCCCTGAAAAAACAATGATTTAATTTAAGAAGGGAGTTGGAGAAAGCTTTTGTGTGTGGATTGTTTTTATGATGAAACCTCAACTAATCTGACTTTATCCTCCTTCTTGCTCACTTGTGATATTGTTCATGGGTGCCAGCACTGGTGCCTAGTCAAACAACATGAGGGCTGAAAAGAAGCATTAGCAAGAGAGAAAGGTGTATGCTTTTATTATTTTTGTGTGTTTCTTTCACCTTATGATTCACTATTGATATTTTGTCCCCTTCTAAAATGATTACAGCTAATGAGCATTGTTTTAGCCTAATGGCAGGCTTGCTGATATCTTCAAAGAGATGAAACCCTGTTAGTTTGCTCTGATCTTGGAGTGTAAGCAACTGGAGGAAGCAATCAGTTGAAGGTTCAGAAACAGTGATTCTGCCTTTATGGCACTGTCCTAATAAGAAAGATAAAAATAAAATCTAACATAAAACATGCCTTTAGCTCTCATGGGTTTAGTCTGCCTGCCTTGATTATTGTGGGGCCTTGCTGTTTGGTAGGTTTCATATGAGGAGTGTTGGTGATTTTGTTGGTTAGCCTGGCAGCAGGGGAGCAAAAGCTACTTATAATTGAAGATTATAATTCCTTTTCTTTTCTTACAATTGTACACATGTGCATGCACAATGCTTCATTTTGATTATATGTTCTCTGTGCTCTGAAACAAAGATTCAAAACTTTTTTCATGCTGTAGGTGCAAATATTCTGAAGGAAGCACTTGTTAATGTGTTTGATTATATGGCTTGATTGCTTTCTGTCAAGGATTGCAAAACTGATATCTTTCTAGCCTAACTAGGGCAAGTGTACGTTATATGTCGGTGGTTTCTGGTTACTGGGTAAACAGAAGTACCTGCTCTGTTAGCCCCCAAACTTACCACTGTAGCTAATTGAACTGAACTGTGGTATCTATTCAGAAGTCAATTAGATCGTTTAGTGGCTATGGTAACACAAACTTAATTGGTTGGCATGGAAATGGTGCTGTGAGAATGTCAGAATGTGAGCCAAAGTCAAAGACTGTATGCACCTTACATAGGCAAAATCTAGTGCAATAACTGTATTAACTATACTGCATTTCCATTGTGTGTTGTCCTTTGCAGACTTGGCTGTTCTAGGTAACAGCATTTTGGTGACCTGAACTAGGTTTTGCAAGGGTAATGTTTCATAGTAGCTAGAGTCAGGAGGGACCTGAACAGATCATCTAGCCTGACCCCCTGCCACAGGCAGGAATGGATGCTGGGTTCACAAGACCCCAGACAGGTGATCATCCAACCTCCTCTTGAATTTGCCCAAGGTAGGGG